AATAATACAGGTTGCACTTGTTGAAAGAGAGTCCAACAAGATGAGCAGAAAGCGTACGAACTAATTCTCATTGCATGTTTTTTTTTCCTTTTCTAGAGGTACTCTTCTGCAGAATTCACGCTATCACAGTATTCACAACAGTACACGAGTCAATTTTCTATGCAACGCTATCAAATAATGCCACCTTTCGAGGCTTTTTTCAACTTCCATCCGTCAGTGTCCGTGTGATGCATTTCTCGACCGACCGTATTGTGTTTGCACGACATGCGTGATCCCCATTCCTTGAATCAAGTACAGTGGACCTCCCTTTAAGGTTGATGCATGAGTTCATTAAAATTCTATTGGACACCGTTTACCCAGGAAAGCTCAAACCATTGCCTGGCAATGTACCATGCATGTCCTCTGCATTTTTAAAAATCGTATCTAGCTGTTCCATGACGCATTTCCGAGATGGTAGTTGAACGTTAGCTCGTGTCAGGGAACGGGGATTCGTTGGCTTCGTTTTACTAGGGTCAGAATTGAGGGAAGACTTGAGGGGATCAAATTTGGTTTCTGATCCTATCCATGATATTCCCGATACTCTTGTAATTCATCTGCTCACTACAGGAAAAATTGAGTAGTTTCACTTCCCTTGAAAGAAAGCATTGCTGAAGGGCAGGAGCATGTTTCGGAAAGAAATTCGGACAGGGCTGGTCACAGCAATGGTGGTGGCCACGATTTGGAATATAGCCTTTGTCATTCAGGACTTCCTGTCCTTTCCCGTGGTCACGACTGTCCAAGTTTTGCAAAATTCAAGCGTACCTTTCCCCACTGTTACTGTTTGCAATCGGAATGCTGTCCAGTGCTCAAAAATGATCGCGGCTTATTTCCGCTACCCTACGGAAGTGCTGGAACTGATGCATTTTAGCGATTGCAAAAGCACAGCTTCAAAACCTCCTTTGATCTACGATGTAAGTTTACTGCATACTAGCACCAATTTTGGATTCGCGTCAACTTTACTGTTGATGGCTTTTTTTTTAAGCCCTGATGCACTCTTATTGGGTGTCAAAAGGATCTTTACAGATATTCAAAAAGAAATTCGATTGCATAAAAGTTATATTCTCTGTACAGTACAAGGTTTATTTTGTACAGTATCGCAATCATGACAGGTTGTATAACTGATTCGTACCAAATACTTGGCCTTTTTACTGGGGGAGACATTTTCAACATTTGCTGTGGGTAAAGATGGAAAAGAGGGTGGTTTCAAAAGGTAGTACTCTCAACAAATGATATAATATATATGAGGGATGTATGAAAATTTGTTTGATTTCTTTTCTCTGGCTGGGAAGATTTTCTAGACAGAAATACTATAAAAAATATCAATAATGAATTGAAATACAAAAGTTGATTTTCGCTGTCTCTGGCAGCTTTGTCAAACCTAATTTTATGCATTTAATTTTTCAAGTCTAGCTTCATGAAATACTGTGAGTTTCATTTATTATTGTGAGACCTATTTTATATGAGGACACAAATTCAAATATCACCTCTTTGGAATATCTCAAATTTGTTCTTCACAGAAATGCTCTTAAATCTGCTAGAGAAAAGTTAAAAAGCACAGAAAAATTGCTTCTTTCTTTTTAATTTAAAAAAGCAAAAAAATGACCTGCTGGTTGATTTTCATGAATTTTTTGCAAATAATTCAAAAATTAAACTAATTATGTTTCACGTATCTATAGGAACCTTTTGAATCCATATTACAATACTGCTATTTTGGTAACGCTTTTAGACTCAATTTTTGGCATTTTAGTACAGTATTTCCATGACAGGCTTCCCATTACTTGAAAAATAAAATTTTGACCATCAAAGGCTTGCTTACATTTCTTCACTGATCATGGTGTCCAAAATGAATTTAAGTATTCCGGGAATGTGAGGGACTTTTGCTCCAAATTTTAGCCAGCAGAATATTCTTAATTCTGCTTTTTGAGTCATAAAAAATTACCTGTACTTTTTATGCGTTGTTATAAATATCAAATGTGGATTCTACCAAATATTTTGGTTTGTTAGCAAACATATTTCAGCAGCTCATTCCCACTAGTTCAACCCAATAACCAAAAATTCATTCATAAATTGAGGATTTGAAACCTTAAGTTTTGAAAGGTATGGTAGTATAATTAAAAATTTCCTGGAAATTCAGAAAATGATGAATTTGATAAATAAGTTTTTCCTCATTAAATGTAATCTGATGGGATCCAGCTGATTTTGGAAGAAAATCCAGAGATTCAGAAATGGGTGCATGACTGGAATGCAACTATGTTTTCTGCGGTCTCATCAAATAACTGGACATCATTGAATGTGGAGAATGAGGCATCATGTGAACAAGTGATTAAAGAACATATGGCTGAACCAATTTCTCTAAACCATATGTTGCGTGAGAGGATGCAAACTGAGAGGGTGCAGAAACCATCGGTCTTGATAACAGCATCCTATATTCACATTCTGTGAGTTCCTTCAATAAAACCAAAATGAATATCTCCCTGATCCTCATTTTTGGTTTCAGACACGAGATATGTTCTGCAAATCTGATGCCATTAATGTTCCCTGAATTGAGAAGCGAGGCAGATATTGAGGTTGAGGTATCATCAAACGACGCTTTTGTCGTGGACGGGTTTTCTCAGGCGCTTGAGACATTATATCGGAATTCCAGCATGCAACCAGTTGTTGAATATCTTCTTACTGACCGTGGGGATTTCATCATTGAATGTACATTCAAAGGAGAGCAATGCGCTGCTGATGGGTATGAATCCAAAATAATTCAATATGCTTGTGCTTGGAGTTTGTGAAAGGTTTGGTTCAATTTTGGATGATTGTTTATATTCTAGCATTGTTGCTGAATTCTACGCAACATATGGTGTTTGCTTCACGTTCAATAGTCAAATATGGACAACTCAGAAGGGCACTCTTCTTGTTTCTGAAACTGCTGGAGCATCTGGAGGTGAGATCTAATTTTTTTAGGCTCATACCTATGACAGGGTCTCAATTGAAGGATATGAATTGAACGCTTTTCAGGGTTGATCCCAAAGTTGTTATTCCAAATTGAAGGACTCATATTCAGGTATAGAGGTAGAGCAGCCAAAATAACTTCCCAATGTAAGAACCCACTTTTTTGCACTGTTCCAATATGATTTCATAAGTTCTTCCAATTATTGAATTGATGGGGAGAAAATTTTTGAATCATATGCTAAGAAATTTACCAAAATGATTGGCAGAAAGTACTTTTTTTGATTGATTGAAGAAACCGCATTGAATTACAGTATTTCAATTTACTGACGAAACATATGCTGAAGCAGGCCTCAATTGAAATATAGGCTTATGTGCTGTATATAATTGAACAGAAAGATGCTAACTTCCATCTTGAAAGCTAAACAACCCATAAGTCAAATGGCATAACTTTCTGAAAACAATGAGAAGTATAGGATATACTGTATTGACATTCATCATTTATCAACACGTGATATTCAATCCACCTCACCAGCACTACTTTATTCCAGTAAGGAATTCATGCATAAAAGAAAAGCATTTTACTAACCATATTAAAAATACAGTATGTGTTTCTTTACATTTAAAAGTTACCATTGGAAATTACTCTCCCAAAATTATGTTTTCCTATTTCAAAATCTGAACAAAGAAGATGCTATTCAACATCACACAACCGTAGTTTATGTTAGAATGATCATTTAGGTATATAGCATAAGCAAGCAGCAGTTCATGATAAGTTTTCCAAAGGGCGATCAAAACCATGTAAAAACTTCTTCATCCATGATTCTAATTTTTTGATCAATTCATTTATTGAGAAAGTAGCAGTAATTTAAAATATCTCCACCTGAAATGAACTGATAATTCATTGGCCGTCAGAATGCACTCTATTTTGAACTTTTGATTGTACATTATTATGCTCTGATCTAAAGCAAAACATAACCTAACCATTTGTATTTATGGTGTAGTCATATTAATGACTACAATGTACAACACTTTCTGTACAACCCTTATAAGCTAATATATTTCTGCTACTTGGCTGCGCCTGGTGCGCTAGCAATTACATTTCACAATCCCATTGTCAACAGTATACTTTCCCAACCTCACTCACCTTCCTTCCCTTTAAAGAAATGAAGTCTGACACCCTCAATCTGAATTGGTTTCTATGCACGTTTCTTGACCTTGGCCAACCAAAGCTATATATACAGTTACATTTCAAGTTGAGTTGAGTTTTTACCTCACCTGACTTGGACTAGACACCTTGTTGACATTGCTTTGCTCTGCAAAAATCATATTTGTATCCTATGTTTGAAGGATAAAATAAAACTCAATTGATATACTCTCATGAAGTAACTTTTGAATTTCCTTTGGAAGTTGTGGAAAACAATTTAAACTTCTGACTCAAAGTCTTGACTATAACAATAAAGCAAGACAGTGATTGATCACCACACTTGCTTTAATTGTTCTAATAGTGTTTTGGACAACAATGGTATTTTGTGAAATATCTCATACATACACAGGCTTATACGCTTTTACAAGCAACAGTTTTTAAACAGTCCCAAACATAACTGATATCATCTGATTAATTAGGTTTTTCTTTGCAAAAAAAAATATTTGCAGGATTATCCATGACATTTAGACTCAGACAGAAGGAATACATGCCAACAGCAGCTGCTGCAGGAGCAGGGATAAGGATTTCAATACACCGACCAGGGATAATTCCAAAACCAAATGATGCAGGCAGCTTTGTGTCTGTCGATTCTGAGACTGACTTTGGCTTGAGTTTGCGAACCATTCAACGATTACCCACTCCTTACGTATCCCAGTGCTGGAGGAGTTGGGGAGAATCTCCTTTTCAACCCATGATGTATGCAAGTATGTCGGCTTCTGAGGCCAAAAAGGTCAAAGTTTATTCACATACAGTACTGTAAGTATTGTACAATTGCAGACATGTTTCCATATAAATAAACGCATAGCTGAAGAAAAATGGCGGTTTTTTTTTAAGCAATGCAGATTTCCTTGCTGGAATTTTGTCTTGATGACGTACTGCAACTGCAGTGAATACACCGTGATGGAACCATTCTTTCATGATGGTGTGGAATACAATCGCAACTCCCAGTTGTGTGATTTCAATTCAGGTACGTTTTTTTTAAAGATATATCAATTTTGTTCAGCAATAAAAATGTTTGAACAAATTCCCAGAGGAAGAATGGCGATGTTACAATGAAGCAGTCAAACGAGCTGTAAATAATCACGGATTCTACTGCTCTTGCGAACTCCCATGCACGTATGTAGAACAAATTTGACGGCTATGTTACCATAACTCAATGGGATTTTGATTGATTGTCATATTGTGTGCAGGGATGAGTTGTATGACGAAGTAATTTCAAGCACAGACTGGCGGTTCACAAATGAGCTACTGTCCAAGGTATCAATTTTAGCATGCAGTACTTTTCTCAAAGGATGTGGATTAATTTCTATTTTGAGATATTTAGACAATGCTGAACATGAGCGAAGACATTTTCACTGGAAATGGCGAACACGCAGCCGGTGAATTCACTAAAATCAACGTGTATTTCCGAACACTGCAGCAAAACGTCATCACCGAGGTGCCGAAATATGACGTTAGTCTTTGGTATTCATTTCTGCTGCGATTATAGTGCACTTAATCATTTTGCTGTTATCTTCCTGAAAGGCATTTCAAATGTTTTCCAATCTCGGAGGGGCTGCTGGTCTCTATCTGGCTTTCTCCATTTTCAAATTGATTGAAAGGATAAATTGTATGATTAAACGCTTTGCTGGTGGGATTACTTCGGGTTTCGCTTGCTGGTCGCAGCGGAAAAATGAAGTATCTCCGATAAGGACGCCGTGCGGAAGAAATTTGGCAATCCGGAGACGAATGGTTTGGGTCGTTGAAGATCAAACAAATTTTGAGACCAGATTTTATTCTTGATTTTATCACTGGAAAATTCACGATTTTGGGGTCTACATCAGTGTTCCACAACCTTTTGGGGACCGCGGACAGGCAAATTGAAAAAAATATATGCCGAGTTTCATAAAATTCTTTGCACATGCAAAACAGTTTTGTTTTGTAAGACTTTCTAGAAGATATTTAAAAACTTTCTGCTTCAAAAATTATGTCAAGAACCAATATGAAGCAGCTACAGTGGAATGTCTTCAAAAAATAAGAAGGGTTGGTTTGAATAGAAAGGTTTTTCAGAATGAAAAATTAAAATAATTTATTTCAGCAGGAGAAAATTTGTCTGAAGCTTTATCCTGGAAATAGCCAACTTTTATTTTCATAAGATAATTTCAACTGACATTTTATTTCCAAAATTTTCAATAAAGATAACAGACTTCATTGCTACTTCTAATGAATTAAAAAATATCCCCTGGACCTGCAAAAATAAAAAATACAAATCTGCGGACCATGTGCAGGTCTGCAGACCTTGGGTTGGGAAACAATGGTCTACATAACACTTCATAAAAATCGAAATGTTCCTCTTGAAGGACGCAATTAAGTTTTGCCTGACGCGTGCGGAAATCACGTACTCCTTTACTCTGTGCGCGAAACCCAAAAAAATGCCAACCAAACCTTCAATAGTAAATTCTGATACTTCTCTACGGTTCCACCACGTTCCCCGTTTTTCTTTTTGGGTATCTAACTTTGGCTGCCAGTAAATTCCCACCAGAGGTTATGAAACACCACGCAGCCCTCACAAAATGATCATGGCCCCTTGCAATTGCCTCAGTGCATTTGCTGAGGTCACTCCTTTTTTTATCCAAACCAGCCACTTTTTTCTCCTTCAAAATTCTACCCAGTAAGGCTCCTAGCCAGTACCAAGTCAATTTTTGTGATTTCCTTTCAATTTTGATCACTTCTTTTGTTAAGGAACTTCTAATCCTCAAAAATCATATTTTGCAAAAACACTGGTATCTCCAAGTGGAGCCTTGAAAAAACTGACCAAGGGGAGCAAAGAGGGAAAGTGTCCATCACTGCATCAAGTTCAAATCATCTGGGCACATACCCTGGAGAATATACCAAATTGAATGGAGGAAAAAGTGTTGATGTATGATTTAGGGGAAGAAGATCCAGACATGATTATCTTGTTTGTGAGGCAGAGGACCATGAGGGAAATGGCAAGGAGCTCCACTTGGTATCCAGATGACACATTCAAGAAGGCCATAAAGCTGGTCCTGCAACTGTATTCAATTCCCTATGAATTACAAGTTCAAGTCTCTTTTGGACTCATTAAAATGATGGCAAGAAAGAACCAAGCATCATACTCATTCCTCTTCAGTGCATTAAACCATACTCTACCCAAGAACCACAAACCTAGGCTTGAATCTGGAAAAAGCTTCAGCAAGGGCTTCCTGGACACCTTTTGTGACACAAATATTGGCCTCTGTCTTTTCCATTTCTCTCAAATTCTAAGGAGAAGGTTGCAAAAGACTGAAGGAAATGTTGCATACACGGAGGACAATGTAACATTGTCCTCCTTGTGTCAACAAGCTTTTGAAAAGCTTTGTTGACACAAGACTTACCCCACTGATCATACAGAAGTATTGTAATATGTAGGACAATGGAAAGGAAGAGGCAGAGTATCACTACTACATAAGCCAGAAACATGGTCTGTTCATCAGTGCACAAAAGATTGACTCCCCAGAACCAACAGCAGTTCTGATTTTAAAGCATGGCATTGCAGGTTGAACACATTAGCGAGAATAGACAAGGCTGTCTTATTCTATTTCATAAGGCATTGAAGGACAAAGGAAAAGTATATTCAAGGTCGAATAAATTTCATCAGAGCAGTCCACAGTCGAGAAAAGAAAACTAATTTGATGAGAGGAATCTGCTCACAGTAGTTTTTCCTTGACAAGGAAAATTTTCTTGACTGTGATGCTAGGCAAGAAGGAGAAACAGCCCGAGATCAGTGAATCCAACATTATATGAGAAGCATTGGTAAGTCAGCACAAGCAGTGTTGAAATTCATAGATCCACAGCAGGAGGCCAACATTGAAGAAGGCTTAGTAGCTGAATCACTCAAATTATGTGTCCCATTAGTGTCATAATTATTTGTCTTATGGGAAATAATATTAGCTTCACCTTTGAAATAAAAACAGTGCAATTTCTGTTCCTTTTCACAACTTCCACATGAGATTTCAGAAAGAAACCACAGAAGTCATTGTGAAAAGGCTTCTGTCTCCATTGAGACAGATGTCCATTGAGAGTGAGAAAAAATGCAAAAAACTTGAGAAGGATCTTTCCACGTGTATTGTTGTACATTCTTGTTCTTGAAGAATATTCTGAATGTCATGCAACAGAATTCCTCTTGATTGACTGGCAATGTAAACCTCATACCCAAAGATTATCATCAATTTGAGCTCTTTCAATGATTGTCCTATGATCTGATAATGACAAACACTCTCAAATCTCAAGGACCAGGATCAAGTGTTTGCTTCATTTCCTTTTTCTCCAAGTTGTTTACTAAAAAAATATAGATCCTGGTAAAGACAGGACACCTTCTGTTCTGTTGTTGGTTATCAGTATTGTGTAACAGTATTTCTCATTCTTTGAAAATGGTGATGCTTTATGCATTCTTATGCAACGTGAGTTAATGTTCAGTGAAAAACTATAATATGTAGTTAATTAAAATAATGTACTGTACTTGGATGGACTGGCATCTGCTAAAGAGATATTTGGGGGGGGAGGGGTGGTGGAGTACCTTCTCCCCAAGAATCTATGAATGATTCCACGTTTTTCAGACATGATTTACAGCCCAGAGAGCCAGAGATTATTTGAATGAAATTAGAAACAGAAAAAGATTTTAGCCATGAGTTTAGCAGAGCATCAGGAGAATTCAGGTCAGATAATTTCTGACTGAGGTAGTTTCAAGTCCTCAAAAATGTTCCTATGCTCAAAGGAGGAAAGGAGTTTTAGATAAAATGTTCTTTTCACCCTCTCCTGTCAGGGAGAAGGCTGTAGAAGGAAATCCTTTCATATCTGGAATCAAACAGGTGGGACCAGTTTGATCCTGCTTATTCTTCTGGGACAGTGACTTCTTGGATCAGAACTTGTTCTTATCCAAATCCAGGAATGCTTACTATTCTCCTACGATTCCCTGTTGAAGGCTGCAGGAGGGGAAGCAGAGCACGGGTCAAACTTTGAGAATTGCACTATAGCAAAGGGCAAAGAAATTACAGATATGGTGTAATGTAGCCTAACTTGTTTTCCATGCTCTCCAGACTATAGGTACTTGGTTTCCTGTTTGTGCATGGGTGTTTTTGGTTCAAGTTTCTTTCGCTTGATTCTTGGTAGCTTCTCAGAGAATAAAAGGTAAAGCATTTCCTGTGGGATTGCCTCAGTAATGAGCTGAGTCAGCAGCTGTCTATTACATAGTTTTGGGCACGCAGTTTTTTCTGCCTCTGTGCTTTCAACAAAGTCTGAAGCTGCATTAAAATTCCAGATATTCTTCAACCTTTTCTCTGACATGTATGAAAATTAATAGCGATTCTCTACATACAGCACTTCCAAATCAACAAGATATGACCCTCAGAGAGTCAGAGGTGACTCCTGGCTGGGAACAAAGGTTGTCTGATACTGGGAAGCATTCATAGAAAAAATTTGTGATCAGTGCATTCAATATATGAATTTTTTGAGCAATAAGGTGAAAAACACAAACCTGTGTACAGAACATACCAAAAATACTAACGTCTCCTGTACACTTTTTTGCTTTTCTAGAAGGGTGAGCTGGAAAAAGCCTATCTTGTGACAATGAATCGTTTCATAGACAAAAAAATATCAGAAGCTAGAACAAGACCAGAACGAAATCAATGCAAAAATCACACACTCGAGTCACTCTCAAACTTGTCAGGGTCACGATGGGAGCCGAAACGTATTTTTTGTAACTCCGCATTTCTCCTGATCCTTGCTATTTTTGCATCCCGCATTCGGTTTGCAGCAATAGTAGGTATCAACTTGAGCATTTGAGCTTCCTGTCGATTCTCTTCATGCTTCCGCAGATTTTCCTCCATTTTCAATTTATCCAATTTACGGAGCCTTTTGGCTCTCTCCTGATAACCATGAAAGGTTTCCATAACGTTCGACGAAAGAAAATTTCATAAACTCACTTGCAGCCTTGAGATTTCTTCCGAACCTGTTACTCTTTCCTGTTTGGAGAGGCTTCTTGATCGATCCCTCGCAGAAATTTCGCCACGAATTTGTTCTTCGGGCTGAGAACTCCTTTCTCCTGCAGATCCTGCACAACGAAAGCCAAAAGCGAGTCAAATTTACAACTTCCTGGTAATTCAGTCGAGGTTTTCTTCTTGTTTCTTTAATTCTTCAATTATAGAGTAGGCACTAAACCGAAATCAAGAATGAACAAACCTGGTTGGTGCACTTGAACGGCGCGAGAAACCCGGTCACAACTGGACATGCTCCGAGTTGTTGCATGGTGATGTTGAGCTACGGGAACTGCATATATTCTTTTTCGCGAACTTTCCACTCGCCGCGATGGAATTTCGCGACATTTCGTTCCTTTTTTAAAGGCTTGGAAAGGGGCCAGTTTCTCACGCCACGTTAACTTGCCATCACTACATCTTTTAATTTCCGATGCATCGTTCATCGTTTGATGCTTCATGTAGAGTCCTGAAATACAAGAACAAACACTGATTTTAGAATCCATCACAGTTGAGCCAGCGTTTGTGATGGAAGATAACGGGACATGGAAACCGAACAGCGTTCAAATCGTGCCATTCGCATGATGCAATTTTCTTCACACATTATTTCTTCCCCTTCACGAAAATTTCCAAAGTGTGTTCACACATGCTGATGAGAATCCCTTCAATACTCGACATAATTTTTGTACAAGAAAAAGGATTCTCAAAAAGTTCATAGGTTTCCCCGCCAATTACGAATTCATGGGACACGGAACACGGGAAAAATGATTTCGCATCTATCTAGACGCATGACATCTATTCAAAAATAGAAGCATGACTTTCACATTCCTATTTTCTTCTATATGTTCCGACATTCGATTGTCATTGGTTTTGACAGTCACAACATGATGCAATTGTCCTTCAACTAAGCAACGCAAGCACTACAAAGGACAGGACTCGAATGAAACGAATTTAACCCGACCATCAACCAATGAGGGATGGGTTTAGGATTCGGGTACTGGGAATATAAACCTCTGTAAATTGAAAAACGTCAAAATAGCATCACTTTCCCTGTGTTCGCATCGTAAATACTCGGAAACAGTATTCGTAACATTCCTAGATTGACAACCACCACATCAAATGACTGAACGAACCTGGTTGGTGCACTTGAACGGCGCGAGAAACTGGCTCAAAACTGGACATGCTCGGAGTTGTTTCATGGTTATGTTGAGGTATTGGAACTGCGAATATTCTTTTTCGCGAACTTCCTGCTTGCCGCGAAGAAATTTCACGACATCGCGTTCCTTCTTCGAAACAATGGAACGGCACAAGTTTTTCACGCCACGTTAACTTTCCGACACTAGTTTTTGATATCCGATGCATCGTTCATCTTCTGATGTTTCATTAGTCCTTCAAAATGCGGAAATCCATTTAGAATGCATCACATTAAAGCCGGCTTTTGCAGCAGAAGATATTGGGATATCCAAATCACGCAGCATTCAAAGAAACCGATCAGCATGTAGCACTTTCTTTTCGTCGATATTCTTCATGTTCAAAGCGGGTTCACACGCGTTGATCAGAATCCCTTCAATATTCCACCAGCAATAGCACTCTAGATGTTTTTCTAATTAAGCAATGATCGCTAATGAGTTCAGGTAATTTTATCAAATAGCGGCGCACACAAATCGGTTACTGAAGACGAGCGAAAAACGTATTGATCATGCTTCGGAGCCATTCGATTCTTCAACAAGAGTTGAAAGCAACAGATAAATATGGCATGCGTCAAGACGTCTAACTGAACCGAACACGTAGACATTTACAACGGGAAGATTTCGCTGGTATAAAATGCTGCTTCGGAGCCATTCGATTCTTCAACGAGAGTTGAAAGCAACAGATAAATATGGCATGCTTCAAGACGTCTAACTGAACCGAACACGTAGACATTTACAACGGGAAGATTTCGCTGGTATAAAATGCAGGCCACACACGAACACGACCACCTCAATTCTACTACCTGTACTGTATTACTGCGATAGGAGGGAATGAAAATTCTTGAATACAGCATACAATAAGCGATCGCCGGAGAATCGGAACTCAATGGCATTGACAAACGGTAAAGAACTTTAGAATATCACGCACTGGAAATTTATCGGACGGACTAACTCGCGTATTTGCGCCCCTTTCCTAAAAATGGAGAGGAAAGGCGGGTGCGCGTCGTAGGCAGGTATACATTCCCCAATAATTTCTAGAAGTTTAGGTGAGAATAATCATTCATTGTAATGGTGAACTTTGAAAAAATCTTGAAAAAAAAAATCGTTTCAATGGAAAACAATTGACCAAATTCCTGATCCAGTGAAAAAAAAATTGTGAACGAACAAGAAACAGAAGCACTATTTGGAGTTGGAATTCGAATTCCATCGCGTCCACAATGAGATATCATCATGCAGGTAGTGTCTCACTTCCTTTTCGATGTTTCCGTTGGACATTGGCGATTTCAAAGCTGCAATTCCACCTCTTCGGCACATGGCATTCTTTTGTCCAAGTGATGTGAAACTCCTGTTCGAAAAAGTAATAAAACTTGATCACCAGAAATAAATTGCTCAACTGCCTGAAAGCCATAAAACTCCTTCTCATCAGGGATTCAGCTTACATCTCGAAAGATTAAAACAGTCCACTTAGAAGACACCCAAAACATTTTACGCTTTCTCAACCGAAGTTTGCATGATTGAACTGCAGGCCAACTGTTTTTCAGACATCCGGATATACCGAATCAGTGAATTTATGACCTTTTCACTCAATGATCAACAACCAGAGAAAGTTCTGGAACGAAACTACGAAAGGACATGACCGTTGATGCTACGATTCCGGCATGGGAACCACAAATAAGAACCCAAGACGTAACCAAGAATCAAGTCTGATCCGATGACGATAATTTCTGTGTGGAAGTGCTTCAAACAAATTCGAAGAAAGAGATGATTTGCACGCTATACAAGTAAAGGACTACTGACTTTTTCGAATTGCATCTTCGAGAAACTTTTGAAGGATGAAGAAAGTGAGACCCACCAAGAAGGTAAGCAAGAAAATGCCGCTCAGATTTGCGGGTATTGATACAACATTCAAATATATTTCTTCCAAACCCAAATCACGGCAGATGGCCAATAAAAAGGTCATTGAAAGATGCTTCTGTCGAATACCGTTGAGTTCGGTGGACTAAGTTCCCGGAACCCATCATTGTCCAATTTACATCACCAATGTACTGTTATCACATTTCGCGAGTCGATATAGTTCGGTACATGGTACAGTTTCCGTAAAACCAGCGGCTTCAAACATAATTCGCTTAGATGTCGAAAATCAATCACGGATTCGGCATGCTCACCAAACACGACGTTCTCCCAAGTTCCTTGCATCCTGATCCTGGCGTGAATCACCGGTCACCAACAGACCAGGGATTTGTTCCGGTATCCGAATCGCACACGGAATTTCTACGGGGCATGCATTTCGGTTTCCTGAACGAGATTGGATGGTTCATAAAATTTAAAAATCATGAGCGCAGGTCACGATTTTAGTACGTTTGCGGGAACCGATCAACAAATGACCCACAATACAAAGATTAAGATTGGAGACGAGGTGAAACTAGGAAAGGGTCAATTCAACGAGAACAGAACTTTTACGTCCTTCAACGTAAACGCTAATAAACATTTGTAGTACTGTATTTCCATGCAACTGAACTGGTAAAGCGTGTTGAGATGGCATCAAACTAAGCTACGTTCGAGAAGACCACATTAACACTTTCAAGCATGAACTGAACGCATAAATGGAAGTGAGTCCAAAGGAGCATACTACAACGTTCCATGCAAGGATTCATTCCAGTTTGAACGGGGTAAAAAGAGCTAAAACACGAACCTTTTCTGGAGAGAGCCGGTCAATGATTTGATATTTCTAGAACAATCTGAACTATATATGAAGACTTGAACTGATTTTTCGATGCATCGAAAAAAAATACTCATATTCGTGTGAATACGGCATATGGATAGCATTTCAGGGAAGAAACAATAGAAGAATAATCACCTTCTGCTGGAGTAGTTGGTCCAAATTTGTTTCGGAGACCACGTCGGATGATTCGGTGATGTCGAGAAGCTCTAAATCAGTTTCTTCATGAGTTACTTGTCTTCCAGAAAATTATTCTGGTTCTTTGGGCTCACTTTTTGTTTGTGCCTCTTCTGACGATCATTTCACGTTCCTTCTCCCTCACGCTCGACTTTATCAAATAAAAAATTAGGATTGAATGAATGAGCTCACTGAATTCTTCGAATCGCAGATTTACTTTTCATGTTTTGACTTCGACTTCTTTTGCTTCTTCGGTTGAATTTCCGCGGATGTACCGTGGTCGTGGCGAGAACCCATGATATGTTGAAGTTTTGTCACTTGTACGAAGGTGCCAAGGTTCACGAGGTAAGTGAACAGGCCGGACACGGCGGGCCGTTCTCTTCTTTAGCAACGGAATGCCGGAAGTAATCTCATCTAAAAAATAAAAAAAGAACGGTGACATTGTACTCAAAAGGAGTTCATAAAGAATCCGAACAGCTGAATTATAATTACACACCCATTCACAAAACAATTCGCGCCGATGAGTACCGGTTCAACTTCTATGTAGATCAGTGAAACTGCGTCAAAACGACAGCGGGTACGTTTAATCGTACAAAATAAACGTAAATTTTCCACTATTCACGAAGAATTATCATCAGAAACAAGTTAGGTCCAACAGCACAGGGCCCTTCAGCGCCGAAGGTTTCCCCAACCGGAGGTTCACGAGATTTTCGAGCTGGCACCTGCCCATCCTCCAATTTAATGGGTTCAGTCAGTGTTTTCTCTAAAATATAGAGTACATCTTATCTTACGTCTCGCGTAAATTTTCGAAAGCAAACCACGGCACATCCTTAACTTGCACTTCGTCCAGTTGAGAACAATTGAACGACATCTCGGAGGTGCACTTACCTCTCACTAGCATTCACAACACACCAACGGTGGAGCTTGGCGACTTCAGGCCACACATTCGGCTTGATGCCGAAGGACGGAAATGAATCTTTTCCGCGGGAATAGTTCACGCAGTTTTATTCTCTTCAACTTGTCCATTAAGGCTCCCAAGCACGACGTCTTCGAAAAACGTAGGTGGGTAACAGACGACGTATGCAATTCAGGCGTGGCATTACAATATTTTTGAAGCGATCACTGGGAAGTAGGATCTTTCTGAATCAGACAATGAGCGCGCGCAACGGATACTAAGGCCCACAGCCATGACAGATAGAAATTTCTGGCATATACTAGTGCTTGCCTTGCTAATATTTTTGAAGCGATCACTGGGAAGTAGGATCTTTCTGAATCAGACAATGAGCGCGCGCAACGGATACTAAGGCCCACCGCCATGACAGATCGAAATTTCTGGCATATACTAGTGCTTGCCTTGCAGTACAGTATTACACAAATACGCAATACATTACAGAAGCTGTGCATGCACGCATGATGTACATCATGCAATACAGTATGTTTATGAAAAGTATTGAACACTGGACAATCAAGGTTGAAGATTTGAATACATAAAGTTTCAATTAAATCTTCCCTGAGAAATCAAACACATTGGATTATAAATTAGGTAGTAGTTTGAGAGCACATTCAGGAAAACAGACAGCATATTTTGTAAGCAGTTGCATATGTAAAGAATATATAAATCCCAGTAATTATGTCATGGAGGGCACATGTACAGTATAAGCATACAAGCAGTTCCATTAACAGTAAAATATAGAACTTATGTACTGTATCATATCAGAATGTGTCTCAACAGAAAGTTATGCACATGAAGAAAAGTATTATAATGGTGAGAATGAATAATGGCATTGAAAATATATTTGTTAGGAAGGAATCCAAATGTCTGCTCAATTATATTTATATTACACTCATTGGAACACAACTTCAACTATAGATATTTACCTATGCAGGTGGTACTTTGCAATTTGACCTCCTGCAATTTGACCACCCTGCAATTTGATGGTCAAATTTGCAGGGAGGTTGACTTGCAACCCCCTTGTCCTGCAAGTCAACCCTTGTCCTGCAATTCAACCCTTGTCCTGCAATTCAACCCTTGTCCTGCAATTCAACCCTTGTCCTGCAATTCAACCCTTGTCTTGGAATTCAACCTGCTTTGGCCATTTTTGCATTTTTGTACTTATATATTTTTTAATTTAATGAAGTGTCTTGCAATTTGACTACTTTGCAATTTGACTACTTTGCAATTTAAATTTAGTTTGGCAACAGATTAAGGTCAAATTTCATGGTACCACCTGTATGCAAATGATGCATGAACATCTGCTGCAATGCATCATACGCCCTATGCACAAATGGAACTTGTGAAAGACATTTCAAATCAAGACCTTCAGTATAGATAGTCATCCAAATAACAATCATGGTGGTATATCAAGTCTGCCACAGGCCTGACTGCAGCCTTTGCAATGTGTACATAAATCAATTGTTGTCTTTTTTACATGAGCAATGAGAAACTGTAATAACATTACAGGGTGTTATATAATACCCTCCTATTGAAAATATATTTGTTAGGAAGGAATCCAAATGTCTGCTCAATTATATTTATATTACACTCATTGGAACACAACTTCAACTATAGATATTTACCTATGCAGGTGGTACTTTGCAATTTGACCTCCCGCAATTTGACCACCCTGCAATTTGATGGTCAAATTTGCAGGGAGGTTGACTTGCAACCCCCTTGTCCTGCAATTCAACCCTTGTCATGCAATTCAACCCTTGTCTTGGAATTCAACCTGCTTTGGCCATTTTTGCATTTTTGTACTTATATATTTTTTAATTTAATGAAGTGTCTTGCAATTTGACTACTTTGCAATTTAAATTTAGTTTGGCAACAGATTAAGGTCAAATTTCATGGTACCACCTGTATGCAAATGATGCATGCACATCTGCTGCAATGCATCATACGCCCTATGCACAAATGGAACTTGTGAAAGACATTTCAAATCAAGACCTTCAGTATAGATAGTCATCCAAATAACAATCATGTTGGTATATCAAGTCTGCCACAGGCCTGACTGCAGCCTTTGCAATGTGTACATAAATCAATTGTTGTCTTTTTTACATGAGCAATGAGATACCGTAATAACATTACAGGGTGTTATATAATACCCTCCTAGACGCCCACATGGGACTTGGCCCTTGCCTGCCCCAACATGTTTGTGGCCATAAACACCTGATGCAGCAGCCCCCATTGTGTGGCTGCACACTCATCACCTGCATCAACCCAATCACCATGAGTGCCTGCCTTATTGTTGCACTACAAAGGTCACCTGGTTGCCTGTACAGTATTACAGTCAAACCTCTCCAAGTAAAACTTCAAGGGACCAGCTACAAAAATTGACTTGGGGTGGTTTTGATTTTGGGAGGTTTCAAGTAAGGGAAACAAGAATTTTTACGGCAAAGAGATGCAAGAGAATTACAGAAATTTGTTAATGGGGATATTCTGGGCTTAAACTTTCTTTTTGCATGAGTATATACAACATGCTGAACTTGCAGGCAGAGGTTCATTTGATCAATTAGTCTTTCACTTCTTTCAAGGCACATCGAATCATTTCTTTCACTCTGTCCCAGTTTCATTTGTTAAGAAACTAATAGCAAAAAGCCTAAGAAAATATGCCTTACTGAGGTTTGAGAGAAATAGACTTCAATAAGTTAGGGTGGTTTTAATGCATTCTTCCTAAGGGAATTCAGACAGGGACTGAAAAATAATTTGACTTAGGGAGGTATTTCACTTATTAAGGTTCAATCTTACATGTCCACAATAATGATGTAAAAGCCTGTTGCAAGATGCTTGTTGGGGGATTCCAAAACAGTTTGGTATAACAAATGATATGTTATAATGAAATTTTCCAAAATTGTTGAATGGGAAGATCATTTATATTGAACCTGCATATATTCAAGATGTTCCTTGTGTGGCCTTTGCATATGTTTTCCCATGTTTTAATTATTGTCAAAATTAAAATGTCAATACTCTCAATAGCAAACATTTACTCTGAATAGCAGGTGTATACCAGCACATTCTGGGGACTCAAGGCTTTTATAAGCAGTGCCTGCACATATCTTCAAGGGTGGGTTATCCAAAAAAAGTTCACAGTTGTTATAAAGCATTGGTTGGGCTTCTGCAGCATCCAAAACCCCATGTAATATTATTTGCACAGGGCTCATTTTTTTTATCTAACCATCTGTCCTGACTGTATCCCATGTCATGGTGGGCATGGGCCAGCAGCTGGCCTTGCACATGACGGCTGCATTTGTGTGCTGGCCCACTTGGATCTGGGGCTGCTATAGTGATGGTGGGGGCTGCAAAAACACACACACATCATAAATACGGTAGGTCATTGTCCTTCAAAGGTTCTCTGCTGGATATAAACAACCACAACATGAGCCTCATTCCATCCTTCAACTGCTATGAGTAACTTGGTGTCAACAATTAAAAAGATTTGAACTAAACAGCAGAACAAATCTTACTTTTTCCACAAATAAATTGAAGAAGACAAGTTTTGGCCTTCATCAAAACTGGTCCTTGTGTGTTTCCCTGGGAATCAAGTGTCAACCCAGTTCTCACAAAACCTTGGAAGAGAATTACACCAAACCTGCAAGGTCCACAAAACTCATCATTGGAAAAATAAAAAATTTCCAGAATTAGCAATTCATTTACTGTACTTGATCCCAAAGGCCATCTCAACTCAAAAACTTATGACATTCCAATATTTGTACACTTGTAGACGAAACCTGGCAAGATTGAGAAACTCCTGAGTGCTTAAAATGGTTCAAGTTTTGATTTGTTTGTGGAATAACCCAAACTTTAGAATCGGGTGAAAATAACCCCAGTTGCATCCAAACCAAATATTGTGTATTGTTTTCAAATTTTTAAAACTTCTATTTGATATTCCTCACACTTGAATTAGGACAAGTACGGTAAGCATATGTTTTAGTGACCCAAGGAAATTACTGGAATCTATTTTCAGATGAAATCCTCAAAAAGATTGGAATACATTCACAGAAAACTTCTTGCAATTTTGTCCCTTGAATTCAGGAGATTACATCAATTCATAAAGCAGGACTTCTTCTGATTTTCTTGGTGTCCATATCTAGTGACAAATTGTCCAGATATTGGGGGGAAATTTTATAGATCCAGGCATTCTCAAGTCAAACTTTCTGCATTCCACTATACATCCTATGCTTTTGGTTTCACTCTATTTCAGCTGTCCAAATCGAACTTTCCTCCAACACTGCAATCCAATTCATGCATTTGACAGTTTTATATTTTCTCCCCTAATCTTCTAGTTGCAGTAGGAATGTGATTCTGAAATTGGCTCTCATGAATCTCCCATTTTCTGTGTTAGTTTTGAGTTCATTATATCATCATTTTTATTCAATAAAATATTTTTTTGCTACATGCTTTTTACACCTTTCAGTGTGACGCACTTCTTGGACAAGAAAAACTTTGATATTGGTTTGCCTTGGAGATGGCTTCATCAAAATTACTGAAGGACCAAGCATCAGGACAGCAAAATTGGCAAGATCTGCTCAATATTCACCACAGAGGTGAATATTTATTGCATCTTGGAGTCAAGGCCAAGTACTTTTAAAGAAGATGACATTAGATAACTCTCAAATTGGGCAGTTATTGAGGAGACAGATTGAATAAGAGGATCAACATGGACTGCATGACCATGCCAGTTTTGCCCATTTACATCCATCAGAGGATAAGTCCTGCATGTATGACCTGATGGTTGGACACCATGTTTTACGTTGTCCAAAGTATATACAGTAATATGAAAAAATTAATGATTGTTTCTCCACTCTCTGATTTTGATGCTTTATATTATATTTGTGAGAAGCATATGGTTGCTATCTTGAATTGTTTGCTGGTATTCAAGTAAGAATGCAAAGAAGATGGCATACCTGCTTGATGATATCCTATTCCTGATGGCACTTCGACAGAAAGGGGTATTTCTTCCAAGGGGTCCAAGGGTTTCTTAAATAATTGAGAAATGCCTGAAGAAAGGGGTCTAAGGGTTTCTCAAATGATTGATAAATGCCTTAACAAAGCAGTCAAAGGGTTTCTCAAATGATTAAGAATCCTGGAATTTGAAAAAATGATGAAATGGGGTTTCATAGACGTCAAAAATGTCAAAACCAGAATTTTTGTGAACAGGCAACTCTTTGTTAATCTCGCTTCAAAAAGGTAAATGTCAGTATGTATCGAACAACGCAACGAATTGGCCGCGGGCAAATGTTTCCCAAAAAAAAAAAAATCCCATCACAATATTGCACTATGCTGCTGAACAATTCTTCAGAACTCATAAAGTTACACCAGTCCCTCGTAAAACCATCTCCACACGAAAAATACTGAAAACTGGAACGCTTCAGTCGGGGAATTTGAGTTTCAAGAAGTCGTAGACGTACTCGTAAACCGTCAACATGATCGCACCTCCTGCAAAAAAAGAGTCAACATTCAATTTTGATGCAAAAAAAAAAATGCTGCAAAATACGGTTTCAAAAAATTTCAAGTCGGCTCAACAAACCTGGTCCAAATCTGAGGCATTTCGGCAAGAGTCCGTTGTACAAAGCTCTGAATCTGTTGAAGAAAAGCAGCACAAAATGAATCAATTTCTATTTGCACCAGAAAACTAAAATTAAATTCAGACATGATTCAATAAAAATCAAGCCGTAATTTAAAAAAACCCATTCAAATGAAATCATCAATCACATTTGACAAATGCAGCATATACTCAAGAAAATATTTTCTTCAAACCAGGATTCCATTTGGGAAGAAAAAACTTCATTGGCCAAAAATTGAAAACAATTTGCAAGTGTTCAAATTTCTTTCAAGTTCAAAACGTGCACAGAAAATACATAAAGTATTCAGTTTTTAGGCCACACCATCAAAAGTTTCACATCCACTATGACAAACAAGAAAGTTTTCTTATAATTTTCTTTGCCTCTGCAATGAAATTTAAAAAAGCAGGAACATGAAAATACAGTGTCCCCAACATGAGGACACTGACTTGGCATAGGGACATTTTGTGATAAAATTGCAAATAAGTTTCAGGCCAAAGTACAATAAACAGATATTTCCAACCCTAAAATGTATGTAAGAAAAGTTCTTGGGCATTTCTCTCACCAATTTGTCATCAATTTAGCTAATTTTAAAAATGCCTTCATTATTGAGGGACTTCCTTCTCTCTTTTTCACTTGAATTTTATTTTTACAGTGGTGTCAGTATTCAATTCCCCAAATGTTCATATTGTGTTGAAATACATTGATTGAATCAGTTTCAATTGTGCAATAATTTTTATTTTTGTAGAATTATGGTGACTATTTTGTTCATAAAAAATCAATCAAAAATTATATAATGTAAGTCTAAGGGAAAATGAGACTCAACTTAGGGACATTGTGACTTAGTTATACTCTTGATGCCCCAATGACATCCTCATCTTGGGGTCTCACTGTACTTTATGCGCTCAAAATACATGCCTTATATGCTCAAGGCATTCAATTCTGAATGATAGTTACCTGCAACCCAATTCAAGCATGACAGAGGATATTTCTACAAACATTAAATTAAATTTCGAATGGAAAGAAGAAAATAATTGAAAAAATTCACCCTTCTTCCCTGAGCACCACAGCCATTGTTCCAAAAGTAGTCTTGTACTTGTCCGGAGCCAGACCACGTTGGATTCTGGACTTGGCCACATCAAATGGCAGATTAAACATACTGCCAAAAATCCCACCAGCGAAACCAAGTGCCAACTTCTTGCACACTTCAATCCGTTCGTCATCACTTGGAGGCAACAATGGCTTCACCTAGAGAGGGGAAAACAAAGAGGTGCAGAATAGCATCATATTTTGGGAATGTTGGGTAGATGTCACTAGAAGTCTCAACCTAACAAAATTCAGAAAATACAGGTGGACACTCTCTACAAAAATCTGGTCCAGAACAATATTTTCTGCATAACATTTTTTTTGATCACACAGGGCTCTTACTCTTTGTTCTAGGGGTACTACACAACAAAACTCTCGAAAATAATTTTGGTTTTGGTACATTCAACTTAATTTGCTGTGGAGAGAGTCCATGTGTATACCATAGTTACAGGATTATCCTGCACACATTTATATTCAAAATAAAAGAAGGAAAATTGGGGTGCATGTGGTATATAGGGGTACAGTATATCCAGTATTTTTTGAAGGAAACGTTTTGAAAATTAGTGGTGCTAGCCATCAGTGATTTCTAGCACACAATTAATACAGTAGGATGAACAGGTAACTTTGCCTGTCACAAATCCCATGGAACAGCAGGTTATTATATTGATTACTTCGTTCAACATTATTACAGCATTTGAAAAAAATGAAATTTTCATTTTTAACCATGTAAAACTTGATTGTGTGCCTCATGAAGGGGGGAGGGGATGCATTTTTTGGAAAATTCCCTGAGGTGCAGGTCTTATTTGAGGGTGTGTATAGTGAAGGTTCTTGGGTGAATCTGGTAACTTGCTAGGATGAGACAATCTTTTGAACTGGTGGAAATTATTAGACTCTTTGTGCATCTTGAAGTGACACCTAGACATAATCTTCGAAGGAACACAACATGTCCCGGTGTCACAATCGAAGGCATAGATGTCGTACCGAGTAGAAGAAGCCAAAGTAGATCATGTTGAACGATCCGTTGCGGAGGCAAGTCGCAGTCAGGCCCAGGTTCAATCCCCGGAACCCGAAGCCAGATTCGGACACGATTTGACGAGTGACAACCCAGGCACTTGTTCGCTGGGCATGCGGGTTCCTGTCGGATTGCAAACGGACCTTGACGACCTCGAATGGGTTCACAACGACTGCCTCGGTCACTCCAGCAGCCAGACCAGCTAGAGCAAAGGTCTGGAAAATACAGTACAGTACATACATCAGTCTTACCTGTTCAAGTCCAACTGCAAGGGGACCAGCAAACAAGTTGGAGTTGAGGAAAAGAGCTTTTGTGTTGAGGGGATAATAAAGGATGAGGCGAAATTATAATTGGTGACATTCAATAGCCCTTGAATTGCCTCTTTCGACAGGAGGCTCAACTTGGAGGCATGGGTTCATTTCTACAATTCACTTCCTTAAAAAGCACATCAAGTCACATTTTTTATTGCTTTTCTCTGCCCTATGTCTAATGAAATAATACCTGTAGTCAAAAGACTTCCAGAAAATTTGAGTTATGGAGGTTTGAGGAGGATATTCAAACAGAAACTCAAGAAAAATGTGAAAAAGGGAGGTATTTGACCAAGTGAGTTTCAAGTGCTCTCCATTTTTCAAATCAGTCAAAAATTTTAAAAATATCTGATATAATAAGTAATCCATTCCAACAACCTTTTTATCAAGTCCCCACAAGTTTTTTGTAACATGATTTTACTGTATTTCCTTTCTCATCTTTTTAAATACAGTAAAATCTCATTACAACAAACTCCCAGGGACTTGGTAGAAGATTTGTTATAAACAAATTGTTGTATAGAGATTCTCGATTTCTAGCACATATTTTACTGTATTTCCTTTCTCATCTTTTTAAATACAGTAAAATCTCATTACAACAAACTCCCAGGGACTTGGTAGAAGATTTGTTATAAACAAATTGTTGTATAGAGATTCTTGATTTCTAGCACAATTTAGACTGAATAGCAGATGCTTGTGATGTTCCTGCTTGACACAAGAACTTCTTGTTTTTGGAGGGTTTCCTGCACAATTATGGGATAAAACCTGTAATTGCTGTCCAGGAGCATTGGGAAATGATAGTTACATTTCCTAAGGGACATCACTGAGGATTCAACACTGTCTTCAACTGGAATGTTGCAGTCATGTTTGCCCCTGAGTTTTTGGTAGACTACAGAATAGCAGCAGTGAACTGCTCTTGCAAGTGGGTGGTATTCTGTTTTCCTTTGAATTACAGTCAAACCTTGTTAAACCGCCAACATTTGTGCCACCAAGTTTTGGCGGTTTAACAAGGGTGGCGGTTTAAAGGGGGAAGCAAAAATTTTTTTGTAATGGGGGAAGGTTGAAAAAAGGGTGGCACATGGAAAATAAAAGCAGCACATATAAGTGGAGCAAACTACTTGATTCAAGTTTTGAAGGATTCCATTTGATATTTTTGGGGATCTTAGCCTTATTCTTCCCTGCCATTTCACACACTTCAGCACTTCCACTTCCCAAGATCAAACTCAGTTGACTGGGATTAAAACTGCTTTTTTGGTTTGCATTTTTGAAAAAAAGTCCAACATTTTCTGTACGTGTCCTTGGTTGTTGAGACAAAACAGTTGCTGAAGATTGTAGACAATAATATTTGAAGGTTTTATTCACATGATACTGTGAAGGGTGTCATGCTGTATTTGAGGATGGATTCCTTTGGCTAGTTATAAAAAAAGAAGGAAGCAGGCTTTGCATCAGAAGATGACAACCTTCATGAGAGGAAATGAGTTCAAGTGTTTGAGCATAAATTATTTTAGCTTTCTATTTAAAAGAAAAAATAAGAAGGCCATGCATCAGAAGATGACAACCTTCATGAGAGGAAACCAGAAAACCAGGCTTTAAAACACAAAATCTGACTGACAGACAGCTAGGAAACCTGTTGGTGGTTTAAAGGGGTGAAAATACATGTTGGGAGAAGATTTGGTGGGGGATATTTTTTGGCAGATGGCGGTTTATTGGGGGTATCCCATCCTTTCAAGGTTGGGACGTTTTGTTTGAAGGAAAAACTTGGCGGGAAGTGAGGGTGGCAATCTAACAGGGGGCGGTCTATCGGGGTTGTACTGTATAACCTTTGAACAATTAGTACATATTGGATAAGGTTATTTATTTTGGTAAATGCCACTGTAGTATTGGTGAAGAATCCAGTGGAGCCAATGCTTAGCCAATTTTAACCAATAAATAAGAATGATACATTGGCAGTCTTGCTTGCTTGGGTGATGCATACTGTTTGATTGAATGTTGCCAAAGAGCTGTGAACATTTGGTTCTCTGTGGAACCCATTGTTCAATGTTTAAGGCTGGCAATTTATAAGGATTGGCTGGAGGGGAAGCTGATCACCACTTACAATGAGTCAACTGGAAGGCGTGATCATAGAGCGTGTGGGCTGAATGACAAAACTGTCAGTCCACCAACCCTGAGTGACTTGAAACACACAAAAATGTCAGTTTATCACCATTGCATTTGTACATGCTGAATGTATTGTACATTATGTAAAGTGATTTCTATACATATACGCATTTGTACACCTAAAAATTTTTCTATCCATCAGCCCAAGAACAGAAGCAGCCAGGGCCTTAGCTGCACAGGTGTCTAAGCTGCACAGGTGTCATAATGCCAAAACTCACAGAGGCCTGAAAACTTTGCCAGGTACAAAAATCCAGCAGGAACAAAAATTCCAAAAACATTGATTATTGTATCAGGAAAACCCACTTTGCTACGCACAACAGGCAATGATCATAATGCCAAAACTCACAGAGGCCTGAAAACTTTGCCAGGTACAAAAATCCAGCAGGAACAAAAATCCCAAAAACATTGATTATTGTATCAGGAAAACCCACTTTGCTACGCACAACAGGCAATGAAGTTTACAATTGAGTTACAAAGTTAAATTAGGTTACAGCAAAAAAAGGACTGGTATTGTACCATTGGGATGTTTGCACTGGACAAGATTTTCTGATCAATTTTCTCTTCTACCGAAATTTCTCTATCAATTTTATCATAGGGTTTTTCTCATGAAGCCATTCGAATTCCTAAGAAATATCACAGCAGCACTGAGAAGGGATGAAGACTGATTCCTTTTTTCCACTGAGATTCTACTATATACATATATACATATGGCTGATGATGGTGAGCATCTTCCTGTCTATCCTTTGTTCCAACCAACCAAACGGAATTAAAAAAAATGCAAAAAACAATCATGACATCCTGTCTTATTCCTCGAGTAACGAAGGCGGTTAATTCCTGCGATAAGTCCCTGATTTTAATTGTTTGTGAGTATACACCACAGGCTCACCATCAGAATAAAAAAGATGCATTATGAATTTTTAACCATTCATCAGCAGTGCCAGGATAGTTGTGCAGGAATTCCTAAGTAGATTATTTTAAATTTAAATATGTATATATTGGACAGCCTAATGTGGATCTAGTTGGGAAATATTCAGCCATTTTTTCTACCGTTCCAAAAAATTTTTTAAGCTCCGAGTTCTTCAACATTCAGTCATTGGATTAAATTGATTGGGGTCTGTTGGACATTGCCACCTTTCCTCTTTTCAGTCATCCGGAAATTGTCTTGCTTATTATAGGCCTCTATATGCCATGGTGCCAATTCGGCGACCTTTAGTAAAATGAAAATGATCTTTACTCTGCCAAAAAAAACCATCCTTGCAACTCTGTGCAATCAAAAAGAACCCTGAAGGGTTAAAAGTGCAATTTTAGCCAAAGAAGTGTCAGTTGGACGCAGAAGAGAGAGGATGAAAAAGGCTAATTCCATTTTCTCGTGTTGTATCAAAATTTTGTAAAAATTTCTGTTTGAATCAGGTATTATGTGCAGAAAAGCTTCACACAATTTTTTAAATGTTTTCTCTATCTATGGCGTGAACCCTATTTTTCATCAAAATAATATATTGAGACAATTGATAGAGCACATGCATGCAGCTGAAACAAGCTGAGAATTCTTCAAAATTCGAAATAAGCCCTCACCAATCTCAATTTTGTACACAAACTGACTCTCAAAAAGTAATTCATACAGCTTAACTATCCTTAAGACAATAAAAAGGCAGTCTCAA